GTCACGCCCTCCACCCCTGAGACGGTGCGGGACTCAGCTTATCGCGAATACCACCCTCTGCACTCATATCTCCCCCCCCCTTCATGGCGTGACTACAAAAACCGCTCATTTGATGTTGTCTTCTCACAGTCTCTGACGATGGCCTCCTGTACGAGACCGAAAGCTCAGACTAATAAACCCACTGTCCCAGAGATCGCGTCTTCATCTTCTTTACAACAAGAACCTGGGATTCGCATATTCGCTTCCATCCATCCAGTAAATGTGGTCAAACAGAACAGACAACAGGCTGAATTTCAAACGATTGTCACACACGGTCAGACCAGAACTCGCGCTGCAGGAGGACGATGTTAGGCTTTAATAATGACGATGGTTTTGGCCGGCACACCTTGTTTCATAATGCGCCACAGACTCATGCTGAACGCATTCGAGCACAAGAGCAACTTCGACAAAACAGACGCCTTTCAGTTGCTGGTGGTCATGGCGGAAATCAAGACAAGGACGAGGACGCTCGAGCTCCAATCAAGAGGGACGAACTCATCCCCACGATTGCCCAAACACGTAGAGCCAGGGCGCCAGAGTACCTATATAAGAATTGTAGATCTCAGTTGGAAGACCTTCCTCTCCGGACGTCCTGTTGTTGCTCAACCTCCGGATTACATTGGCGATTTCTCAGAGATAGGGTTAGCATGACTTTAAGGGCTGGAGAGGTATAAAACTCCGTTGCAGAGCAGAAGGAGGACGTGCTACGTTGGTTGTCTATATTGAGATGCTCGAAGTGCTCTCGCCAGTGGTGGACTTTGGCCGAGTTGACGGCACTAAATCCGCCGCGCGCATCTCGAATAACCACTCAGTCCAGAGGGCTTATCACGAAGTTGGCGGATAGTTTCGTAGAGCTTATGAGTTCCAGAAACGTTTAAGGCCTGTTCCATAGAGGTCGCCTTTTTAGTGGAATAGTTCTGCTGATCGTCCTCAGCCGATTTGACCGTCATTTACCGGAATTGACGGAAGGAATAGCCGTTTCGGGACCTGACTCGCGCCATTTGGGCAGAGAATTGCGGGATTCTGCTGAGTAAATTACTGCGACGTCGCTGGGTGAAAAAAACATTTTCTTAACTGCGCCATAGACTGAGGACTTCGATGATTACCATAGGCTACCACCTCCGTCGACTCCGGTTTTGAAAGATAACCGAATTGCTGTGCTCAAGTCTGCAGTTCTGGGGTTATCGAAGTCTTGCGGCATAAAGGGGTCTTTCACTTGCTAACTGGGTGCAGATGAAAGGTAAACTTCAAGGCGTGTGCGAACGAGGACATGGTCCGACCCATGGGCGTTGCCAGTTCCGGCACAACGCATCAATCTGCTATCCCGAACCTCATTGTGCAACCTTGACTCAGCTAGGATGTAGTCGTTCTGTCTGGCTATGTGATCGTCATTTAAATATCAGGTCATCCAAGGTTTGTGACTGTTCTGGATACGCGTTTGTGACAGGCAATCGCATGTGGTCAGCAAAGTTCACCATTCTCGCCTTGTCACATTGAGGACCTAGTTAAAAGAGGCAAATAAGGTGACTGGATTGTCGCTTTACCCATTTCAACCACTCCATTCCCGACAAAAATCATCCGGTCGTGTCAAGAAAATTTTATTAATATTTAATATGGGAGTACAAGGTCTCTCGCTAATTGACAGCTATGCTGTCGCGTGCATGGGACGACAGAGATGTTCGTCAAATGACCACTCAGGCTCACGTAAGCCGTCCGGTTATTGACTCGTTTCCATGAGAGTAGTGCACGACTGGCTGGTTGTGGGAGAGCGATCGCCATACTTGTCTACCGGAAGAGTCGCGTGGAACGCTGTGGTACAGGACAAAATATGAGTTGACTCCAGGGACATTTTTTTCAGAGCTCCTGAGTCGGGGATTCCGATTTCACACAGGCAGCAGACGTCCACATTGCACTGATAAGGCTGCGGGCGGTCAGACTTTAGATCAACGAGTCCAGGGACGCTCGCAAATTTCAGCATTCAATACTCTGCTCTTGTTCACGATTGAGAAGTCCAGCTTACATACTTCCCCCAACGACGCCGTAACATGGATCGGAATACTCGAGTCGAATAATTTTACGTTTCTTGGGGAGTTTATGCTCATAAGGGTTCCTAACAGTCGCTCGGATTGTTTGTTTGGAATTGTTCTCTCTAACGCTTTCTCTCAAGAACCTAACCATAAGGCAGCGGTGACAAGCAAACTTCTTTAATGGTGGTTCACGATCGCTATGTCACAGTGCCGTCATCTGAATTAACGGCATTTTAGAAGGCTGTCAATGTGCCAGGCCTCAGCCTTTTGCGTCCTGACAGAGCATTGTCGCTGTAGGTGCGCACCTGCTTATTATCATTTCACAGCTCACCCTCCCTGAAGGCCGTCTCACTCTCCACCACCTGTGGACGCGCCGTCATCTGACCTTCGGGCAATTTTTTGGTCAACCGGCGAGAATTTAGTTCATCGCGTCCTGACAGCAGTTTCGGCGCTGGTACGCGACTGCGCCGGGCTGACATTACATTTATGTACAACGCCTGTCTTTAACTGTCATTCCCTGTAACATCTGCACAGATCTAATGATTGTCCACCATTACTCCGGTCTTTTATTGTCATTTTGTTTTTGGTAAATTTAGTGGGCCCGAATTTGTTACTGTAAGCAACTTCGACTGCACATCATGATCTCCTGTGGCCTTTTTGGAACAGTTCTTGTGTATCGACTCACCCTAACTTTTTAACTCTGAATTTTGCCCATCGGCACTCATCAATACGCTTTTACCCAGCAGCCAGCCAGCTTTATGTTGTCTTTCCTTGCTGGCTTGGGCCTTCCTCTGGTGTGGTGTTATTTCCCCACTCCGAACTTGCAGACTGGCGCACTGTTTTGCGCTGCTGACCAGTAGGCAGCATCTGGAGTGTTGCTTGAGCGTGAACTAATGCGATCTATCTGACGAAGTCCGGACCGTCGTTTGGACGCATAAGCCTTGGCCTTGTGAACGCAGAATCAGCGTTCGCGCGACTTTCCTGGGCCGCCTCCACAATATTCCTGGGATTTTAAAAATAACCACCACTAGCGAATTATTTGAGATTTTATCACTCGGAATGCGCTCTAAAACTACGACCTAGTTGTTAGCAAAACACAGTATTCCCCAAAGGCTGGTAATGCGAGTTGTTACTTTTGTGCGCAGCGCGTGTTTAGATAGATTAAAGTATCGTGAAGTCTTTGTAAACTAGCTGCTGTACTGTTACATTAGACCAAACTAGAGGCCGCATTGGCCATCGACGTTCGCTGATCAAGTCACACAGAGCCCATGTTGACCGTGTACCTTTCCGCATGCATAGTAATGAGAATGCGACTTCCAGGTGGCATATCGAACGAAAAGGAGGCGTTACCTGGGAGAGGTGTGTTGGAGGTCTGACGTTTTGAGTAGTCGTTTCTTCTACCCATCTTCAGAGACTGAGAAGTCATGCACACTGCTTTCCTTATATGGCGCACTTTGTTTGATGCCTGGCCCGACAATGCCGCCTGTGTGGCTGCATCCGACCCGCATGTCACCGTGACCTGAATCCCGCCCATCTTCGCCGACCGCGGCTATAGTTGACGGCCACAATTGTCCCGCGCTGTGACTGTCCGCCGTCAAGAATGTCCGTAAAAACAGATAGGGAGGAGGCGAATTGATGTGGCGGTTGACCAAACAGTTGGTAGTCATCCAGGCTTCTTGCACCTGCCTTGCCGTATGATCATCACCTCGGCCCACAATTTCAACGGCGTCAAAGTTGAAGACGTGCCCTATTTTGGTGGCATGTGTTGCTGCTTCCGACTTTGGATCCAATCATCGCACGGCCAACTTATGCTCGTGCATGCGCGTTTGCAGCCGTCGGCCGGTTTCCCCAACGTAGTTGCACATTCCGTAGCTACACTGAAGTCGGTCGACAACAGCCGACATCTCCCGCTTAGGGATCGGGTCTTTTGGCCGCATCACTTGCCGGCGGAGTGTTGAGTCGGGCCTGTGAGCAACGCCTATTCTAGGCGACGCGAGGGATCTGGCTACGGCTTGGTAGACCCCTTTCATGTATGGAATGCTCCGCCACGATTTTGGCTGACTGTATTCTTCACTCCGCTTCCTTGGTTGCTTTCGGATCCGTTCAACGAATGTTCGCGGATAGCCGTTGGATCTGAATAGTTCTTGGAGGAGCTTTATCTCGTCCTGTTTGACGACTGGAGTGCTTCAATGAGTTTACACCCGTCGGTATAGCGTGCGTACACAGCTTCGTTTGTGTTGCAGTGGGTGATTGCTGTGGTAACTGAGCATTTGCAGCGTGTTCGTCGGTTTTCTGTAGACTGACGTCGCCAGTTTGCCGTCTGGTTGGCGGCAGACGAGAGCATCCAAGAATGAAAGTTTGCTCTCCACTTCGTCTTCCATCGTGAACTGTCGGTCGGGAATGATTGAGTTCAGCAGCTCTTCATAGTATCCTGATCGATGATTACGAAGGTATCGTCAACATAGCGCGCCCAAAACTTTGGTTTGTATTCCTCGAACAGTCGTTTCTGGGATTTTTGCAGAACCGCCTCGGCACTGAGTCCGGAGATTGGTGGACCCATCGGAGTGCCCTTAATTTGCTCATGTGATCCCCTAAATGTCTTAAGGCAGTGCCCCATGAGTTCTTTGTAATCTTGAGCTGTGGGCTGGCCATCGCCCTCGTCGTAATTCTGACGTAGCAGGCCACCGAGCGTCTCGACCGCAAGGGCCTGCGGTATGGACGTGAAGAGTGAGACGACGTCAAATGACACCATCTTCTCATTCGGTTCGATCGTGACCGCCCTTATTTTGTCGAGGAATTGCTCTGCTGAGTGTACTGTTGTTTGTGAGCCGGCGGTTAGGAATCTTAGCTTCTGAAACAGCCAATTTGCGAGCCCGTATGTGGGTGTGCCTCGGAGTGAGACGATTGGTCGGAGGGGGACATCTGGCTTGTGCACCTTTGGAAGACCGTAGAATCTCGCCATTGACATTTCTGTGCGTTTTTCCATATACCAGTCTTTGACGGTGATGACTTTTTCCTTCTTTAGTTGAGACAGAATTTTGTTAACCTTCGCCAGTAAGGACTTTAGACTGACAGCCTCGCTGATTATGTAGGACTCTCGGTCGTTGAGGAGCATGCGTTGGACGGAGGCTCATCCCACGTCATCCACTGCATCCATTCTCATCATCATGATGCTCCGGCTGACAAGCTCGGACAGGTCATTAGCACACATTGATAATTGCGGCTATGTAACAATTATATCCTAGAAATACTGTACTCTCGTGCGTGTGCTACCTGTTGCTTTTACTGATGGTTGGCTCGAGAGTGAATCCGACATGTCGAGCGGATAAAGTTCGTATTCCGGACGACCGTCTCTCCCTCTTCCTAACAATGACCCTGAACTCATTCTCTTGCATTTATTGGAAAATCAAGCGCTTTAAGAGGACGGATTACTTCGTAAGCGCGCCACTTATGTAGACCGCGCATGTTGTTTTGTTTTTAGTGATTGAGACACTGTCGACTCAAGCAACCGATGGATTTGGGAGGAGTGATAATTCAGAATTTCACTAAGCTTGACTATACCGAGGAGGACACTGTTGTGTTTCGGGGCTATCATGACGGTGTCAACGGTGAAAAAATTAGTGAATGCGTCGAAGCTACACATCTAGACTGACTTTCCGTTCGAGCCTTTTCCTCTAGACACTTTTGAATAGCGTAAAGGGCGGGGTGAATGGGACTACAGCCACTATGGTGCTATTAAATGCGCTTCTTTTTATCCGAACTTGGCTTGTTGCTAGCTTAGGCTGTTGACCGTTGCTCGTGACATGTCAGCTCTGTTGTTGATCTTGTCTCCCCACTCAGCTTTCTCACGCCTTACTCATCTGAGTGTCATCAAATTACGTTTTTCGGCTGAACGACACTACTTCCCAGCGGATTCCACTTTTGTGCTCACGTTCCTAGAGAAACGCCTTGGATGTTTTTTTTTCTCTATGCTGCATTAAGACGACCTTCCCGTCTGGGAAATCTACTTGGATGTTTTTAATGCCTATTTAATAATATTGCCTGACTATCCCAATCCCCGCCTTTCAGCTGTTTACTTTGGATTTTGCGAGAAACTCACACCGGAATGCGGAAGTCGGTGGATGTCTGTCATTCATGGAGTATTACAAGGGCTAGTGTTTGGTGCGACTGGATCTGGGCAGAGGCAGTTTGTCATCGCGGAAGTTCCGAGCCTCGACCGTTCACAACTGGCCTGGTGTCAGGGTATGTTTCCGAATATCCCTCCTGAACGGTCTTATGAATTGGGCCAAGGTCTTAAGGGGTAAGTCGGTGTTGCCTTTAACTTTGCTGCGGACTAAGGCTTCATCACGGTGCGACAACAGATTGGATTTGCTGTATGTTTTTTTTTAATTCAGTACCCGACCTTTTGAGCCTGCATTGGCAGTGCACGGGTGGAAGTGCCGACTTTGTGCCAGTTTAACTTTATTAGGCGTTTTGCCGGCTGTTGACTGGTATGGACTATTGTGATACGTCATCTGGGTCCACCGTTGCGTCCCCAATTCCTCTAGCGAGTGTTGGCGGATGAGGGGTCTTTATCGTCTGCCCTTTTTGTCATCCACCATGCTGTCTCCTTTTTTATTGGCTAAAACGCATCTTTTAGTAACTGTCAGGTGATGGCAGTCCAAAGGACGACTGTTGACTAGGTGAGACTAAATGGGGTGATCTGAAGTGACTATGGCGGGGCTGGCGGGGACTACTAGGTGGGAGGCTTCCTTGCCATAACTTTGCAGAGAATGCATATCAAGCTTATGGGCCTGTAATTTGTCTTCGCTGTCCTGCTACCTCCTTTGTGTAGCGGAGTAATATGCGCCAGCTTCCAATCGATAGGAAGTGTAGCAGTGTCAAATGACGTTTGAAAGAGCATCGACAAATGCACAGCAAACTCATCGGCAGGTTTTTTTAGAAGCTCGGGTGGAATCTGTCTGGTCCTGGTGACTTCGATTCGTTCAGCGCCTTTATTTCTCTTCGGAAAATGCCTTTCCGAGAAGAGTATATTACTTATGTTTGGGGTCGGCATTTCTTCTGTGGAGAGGGGAAGGAACCTTGCCTCGTTTGTGTAGACTGATTGGACAAAATGAAAAATACGCGGCTTTATCCCTACTATCAGCAATCTAAACGCCATCACTAGTTCTTATTAAGGGGATTTGATGTCTGTTCCTTGTACTTCGTCGGAGGTAGCTGTAAAGTAATTTTGGCGTCTGCGTAGCAGAGAGAGAACTCTTCTCGAATTCCCACCGCGTTCTCATAACCATGTTTCTCAGTTTGTTCCTCTGTGTCTTGTAGGTGTTGAAATATTCCTAGTGACGCAGTATTTTCTCCACAATTTATGCTTCCTGTTAATTTCTTTCTCTAGATTGCTATTTAGCCACCCAAGGTGTTTGTCCAGTCTTACACTAGTCGGTGGGCAGTGGTTGTTGATGAGCTGCAGAAGGACATTCTTGAATAACTCCCAGTCATCGTTGGCATTTCCCGTAAACAATGAGCCCCAGTCGAGACTGGATAAGTCTACCCTCATCTGATTGAAGTCGCCTCGCCAAAAATTCGGTCTTTTCTGGTCTGAAGTATGTGAAATGGAGAATAACGAATAATCCCACATAAGCACTACATGGTCACTTCGGCCAAGGGGCGGCGTGGAGCTGACCTCGTCTATGCTGTCTGGTGCTTTCGTAAAAACCAGATCCAGACAGTTTACCCTTTGTCCTTCACGTGTTCTCGTTGGAAACATTACATGTTGTGTGAGGAGCGCCTTTAGTGTTTTGTTCAGCAAGCCTTAGCCGAATGTCGATTTTGGACCTGACGCTTGGAGGGTATTCCAGTTAATTCCTGGTGCGTTGAAGTCGCCCATTATCATGATGTTAGGTCAACTGGGAAATTTCTCCAACTGTTCCAATAGTTGAGCGTCGGCGATTTGGTCTGTCCTAGGTGGTCGGTGGACAGTAAGGACATCGAGACACGGTGAGCCGGTAGTCTTGATGGTCGACCGAATAGCTTCCGTGCTGCACGCAAACTTAATGGTATGCTCGACACTGACCGGTTTTCCTTCACATACACAACTATGCCACCACCCTGACGATGTTCCCTGTCCCTCCGATAAATTTGGTATCCAGTCAAGGCTATTTAGCTATCGCTGATATTCTCGAAGAGCCAGCTCCCGGTTATGGCTAAAACCTCCGGAGACAGCTCGCCAGAGCAGAGTTTTAGCCCGTCTAGTTTCGAAATGAGGCTGTGAGCATTTCTGTACAAGCACCTCAGTTTTGCACCAGCCGAATTTCCGGTTGCATTTGTCACTGTTTTGAGCATTACTCCGTTATCTCGGACGTCATTTTCTCTGAGATCTTTTGTTGCTTGATGGGTCCCACTAATGTCCGTTGCGCCAGTCAGAACACTGGACGTTAAGGGCTGACATGTGTTGTCGCCTCGAGCGGCTGGTTCCACAAAGGTATTTCAGCTGTGTAGCTGCCGTCGTTCTTGGTATTAGTAGCTGCTTCCACTGAAACGGAAGTACTTTCCCCTTAAAGATAGCCAGCTTGTGGTAGCCACCCTTTTGTCTCGATTTTAACTCTAAGACCAGTTCCCGGAGTTTTAGCCGTTACGCTGGTGAGTAGTCTGGTTGAAAAAAGAAACAGTTTGTGTGGGTTTCTGAGGTCGGTTTTTTTGGAGAGGATGAACTTGATTTGCTCCTTGTTCTCCAGCATTATTTTGGCAGGACAAGGTGGTAGTGCTGCTGTCCTGTATTCATTCTTTTTTCCAATCTGGAATGCTTTCAGAACCTTTATTTCCATGTCTGCCTGGAGTACTTGGTTTAGTAGACTATGAAAAGAAGCAAGATCCTCCGAGACACGGTCTTCAGGTCTGACTGCATTCGATTCCGACAAGCCCTGAATAAGCAGACACTGCTGGCGATCATGGTCCTCCTTATGTTGTCTTTCCGGTGAATTCGCTGCATGTGGGCGAGGACGATGTACGGAGTCGTCGCTTGGACGCCCACTTTTGCTGTCTACCGAATGGTGAAACCTACTTACAGGTTTGTGAGGCAGGACCTCTTTTCACAGAAACCACGTTGAACTGATGTGATGTGACAGCGGAATGTATCGAGGGATGTTATTGATTTTTTAACTAACTTCTCCATCAGTTTACAGCAAAGGCATGTCAGACTCACCTGGCGGTAGTTATTGTGACATAGCCTTGATCCTCCCTTATGGATAGGTACGACGTTTGCCAACTTCCATGTGTCAAGAAGTTTGCCAGCTTCCAGCGATATTTGGAAGATTATACAGAGTGGTTCTGCTGATTCTTCAGCTAGCTGACGTAAGAGTGCACCTGGGATCTAGTCTGGTCCAGGTGACTTGGCCGGATCCAGCTTCTTTGACTCTGCTAAAACTAACTGCGGTGTAAAAAATACTGCGCTTGTAAGTGGTTGGCTGGCGAGCTTTGGAAGAGAACAGGACTAGAGGGGTGGTTCCGTGGAAAAGACACTTTGGAAAAACTCGGAAAGAAGCCCGACTTTTTGAAAGCCATTACGTTATTTTTGTCCTTTAAGGTCGCCAGATGGTCTCGATTTTTCGTATTGCTCCTGATATATGCATAGAATGCTTTAGGTTTTTTCTGCGCCTCTTCTAGGAGCTTCAGTTCATAAGAAGCTCTTACTTCTCGGATGAGTCTTTTGCATGAGGTTCGTTGTTGTCTGAATTCCTGAAGTTTTTCTGGCTCTCCGTTTGTAAGAAGATTTTCCACAGCTTGCTTTTTTTCGGATTTCATTCTTAACCGATGTCGTCAGCCATTTCGGTTCGTTTCCGGTTGGATGTTTCTTGAGGGCACAGTATCGTTCAATCAAGTCTCTCATAGTTGATTCGAAGTTTGTCCAGCGTTCGTTGACATCCAGTACCTAAGTAAACCGTTGACGAAAGCAGAACGACGATACCGCCTAACTCGAAAAGAGATGCTTGCACTTACGCATTTTGTTGAGGAGTGTTGACCCTATCTCCAGTACCGGCCGTTCATAGTACGTACTGACCACAGCTCTTTGACTTGGCTAAGAAACCAAGAATCCTGAAGGGCAAGTAGCTCGCTGGCAAG